GCTGCTGCTGGGTGAGTTGATGTGGTGCCTTCTGATTTAGAGTCTCCAGGGATGGATGGTGCTGGGGGGTCTGACCTCCTGTGGAGCCAAAGTTCCCCCCTAAAAATACCAGCTGGGGGTGCTCAGTTATGCTTTGCCTGAGCTGCTTTAGGTAGTGGCCTGATCCCTCCTGTTGAAGATTACAGTATGTGGGAGAATCCACGGCGCGCCACTGTGCAGGGTGTGACAGCAGTGGGCGTGGTGGGGTGACCCTCCTCAGCTCCACAGCAGGGCAGCCTGCACAGAGCTGCAGCAGAGGGAGTACAGGTTTCTAAAGACTCACGTTCAGACTTGCTGGGTCACAGGAAGCAGGCCACAGAGTGTCATAGTCCCTGCCATGAAACAGCTTCTTTGCAAAGCCAAAATGGAACCAGGAGTTTTACCCTGTTGCTTTAAATAATCAGCCTCTCACTCCAATGTCACTTAGAGCCTGAGAAGATGCCGTCTGCTCTGTGCAGTGGAGAGATGGTTTGATTCCAGGGGCCTGCTTGACTAGTCCCTGAGGGACAGAACACACAGCCCTTGGCTTTGAAACAGAGTGCCCAGAGCCCCCCACTGCCCCTCTTGTGCCCCAAGGAGGCCCTTCTCATAGAGTGGTAGTTTGTGTTATCAGTAGCATTAATTGCAGATAGTGTGTCTGTCTCCCCTTCCCTTCCCTTCCCTTCCCTTCCCTTCCCTTCCCTTCCCTTCCCTTCCCTTCCCTTCCCTTCCCTTCCCTTCCCTTCCCTTCCCTTCCCTTCCCTTCCCTTCCTTCCCCTCTCCTCCCTCCCTCTCCTCCCTCCCTCTCCTCCCTCCCTCCCTCCCTCCCTCCCTCCCTCCCTCCCTCCCTCCCTCCCTCCCTCCCTCATTTCCTTCCTTCCTTCCTTCCTTCCTTCCTTCCTTCCTTCCTTCTTTCTTCCTTCCTTCCTTCTCTCCTCCTGTGAGAGGTATACCCTGTGCTTCCTCTGAACTCACACTCAGTGTTAGGGGGACATAGCTTGAAGAGTTGGTTTTGCATCTCCCTGAGGGTAGACGTTGAGGCAGTGCTCAGGGTGTGTGTCCTTTTCCATGGTTGAGCAATTTTTCAGGTGACAAAGGCCTTGTGCCTATGGTGGGCAGGTGGAAGGGGCAGCCAGCTTGGAGAGACAGGGCCTAGGAGGGACTCTGGAATGTTCTGTCAGCACAGATTCTCAGGTTGGTCACGAGGAGCTGGTGTCACTATGGATGTGATATTTCTCTGATGGATTCGGAGCTGTGGGGAGCACTAGAATCCCCCCCGTGTCCCCACAGTGTCAGGGCAGAGCAGCAGTGCCGGTCACCTGGAGGACGCAGCCGTCTACACATCTGGGGGGGACACAGGGTGTTGCCCTGCACGAGCTGCAGTGTGGGAACCTGGGTGTTGAAGCCCAGGCCCGGGGCCCTTCCGTAGGCAGTCCCCCTCTGCTGGTTCTGAGGTGGGCTCATCCATCTGAGGAGAAGAGGTTTTGGATGATTAGAACATCTCATCCAAGACGGGGAAAGCTGAATCTGAACTTCGGTAGTTCTCTGTCTTCAGAAAGTCCCCCCACTGGTCCTGGACTCACGTTGTCTTTGTTCAATATTGTTTCATGATGGCATTGATGAGAGAAAGATGGATCCCAGAGACTGGGACCACTCCCTGTCCTGCCTCCCACACGCGGTAATTAAGCTCCCAACATCCAGTGTAAGCAAATAATAACAAGGGCATTATCTCCCGTTAGTCTGTTTTTCCTTGCCGATCATAAAGTAATTAGAATAATGAATGCCTTGTAAAACAATAGGTAAGAGGGCTGGCAAGAGCATTATCTGCCTTATACCTCTTGTGCTGTGAATTATTGATGCATTAAAGCCATGGGGCCTCCCTTCCTCTGGTTCTTTCCATGCAGATTGCTCTGCCAGGCCCTGCGGTGGTGGTTGTGAAGCCTGGCAGCCCAGGACCAGAGCGCTGGGCCCCCACCCCCCAGGCTGCAGTTAAGAAAACACCCTTCTGTGCCCAGATCTCTTCCTTGCCAAGCCACACCCCACGTTCTCCACTTTGGAGCCAAGTGGGCGGGGTGTCCATGGTGAGCCGAGGGCAGGGAGAGTGGAGACTTTGACACGGGACTTTGATGCAGCGTCATTTCCCAGCAGGGCGGGATTGGTCAAGTGCTCCATTGGAGCGGGAGATGGAGACTCAGTGTCAGTTGTTGGAGCTCAGAGGAGGCTGTTAGACGTGGTGGGGCCCTGACCCTGGTGTGTATCCCTGCAGGTCGTCCCAATGATCCCAAGTTTGAGAACCACTGCAGGTGTGTCCAAGGCTCTGGGGTAGCAGAGGGCGCTGGGGCTCATCGGGTGATGAGTGGGAGTGTGTGCTATGGGGCAGTTTAACAACAGCCTGGTGGACTGTTGGCCCCTGTCACCGGGGAAGTCCCACTAGGGGTGCAGAGCTGAGTCTCCAGCTTCCAAATGGCCATAGCCCCCCCCCCCCCCAAGGCTTCTGGTCCTTTGGCTGTGACACTGAGCCTTGGATCCTCACAGACTAATGATCAGCCTAAGGCTGCAGTGGGACATGGAGGCGTTCTCCATGGATGTCAGCAGGCAACCCCCAAAGATCCCCACCCTCCCTGGGCTCTCCTTGAGCTGACATAAGCCCAGCAGATCTGGGGCACTTGGAAATCAAACAGGAGCTAGTTCTGACATGGCTGGTGTGTCCAGAGGAGCAGACTGGAGTGAGAACTGGGCCTGAGAGCAGTTTCCAGTGAGCCTAGAGGCTCCCAAGAGAATTACTGACTCAGTGTCCCCTTCCTGCCCCACCCCACTCCCTGCAGACAAAGAAGTCACCTCCCTCCTGCTTTGTCTGTTCTTCATGTTTCCAGTCATGACTATTCCCCATGTCTACTTGCTTGGGACATTAATTCTAGAACTTGAAGCAAAGACCATAATTTGCTGGCATCATTGAAAACATCTGTATTTGCACACACAATCTCACTGGGAATTTGAGGAGGGGTCCGGTAACAGGAAATGTTGAGGTTGTTCACGAATACATTTTTAGTATTAAGTATGCCCTGTGCATTATTCAGGATTTAATTACATCCTCCCCATCCCCAATGTTGTTTATCTGAAATTCAGGGTTCTCTGTTCTGTGATTTATATGGCCACATCTGGTCCAGATTCTGTCATCACTGTGGGCACAGTCCCTCCTGATGAATGTCTTCTTATTTATTGACTCACCTCTACCCTGGGTACTCTGTGAGGCACTTGGGATACAGCATGAGGAGAAGTAGACTGTCAATGAAGTAAGTAAGTGAATTACAGAGTGTTTTAGAGTTTTCAAGCATAGAGGAGAAAAAATAAGATGCAAAGGCGATGCTGTTGGAAGGCAGAGTTGCTGTTTAGGCGTAGAGGGGGAAGTCTTCATTGAAAAGGTAGATTTGGGCAAAGTCTTAATGGTGGTGAGGAAGCTGTGATCCTCTGTGGGGGAAAATTATTCCAGTCGGAAGTACATTGTGTGCAAAAATGTACATTTTAGGACCCCATGTGGTTGTCTTATGAGGTCAGCCTTGTTCCCGGTAGCATATTTCAAGCCACCAAGGTGGATTGATCATTAATTATAACTGCAAAGGTCTGGTGTGGGTTTCAGGCACAGCTGGATCCAGGCATTCAAATGATGCCACCAGTGCCCTGTCACTCCCACTTCCCCCTGTGATGGTTTCATTCTCAGGGCTGGGCTCGATTTTCTGTGCTTCCTAGGAAAAGGCCCTGCTGGAATCGTGTCAGATTGCCACTGATCACATGACCATCCCTGGCCCCTTTGCTATTTTTACGTGGGAGCGAATGATCTGGTTGACAAGTCCCCTTTCTGCAGCCAGGACCCACCAGGCCCTTTTGAATCATATATACTGGGGAGATGGAGGGTTCCTTGAAGGAAGCAGGGGGGAAACTATTTGTCTTTCTCCATCAGACATATTTAATTGAGTCTCCAGAATAGGGAGGGTATTCCCGAGCAGTGCTCAAGGAGGTCTGGAGCCCAATGCAGGTGAGGCTTGGCTTGCAGGACTGGTGATTCAATGAGGGGGCGGAGGGCGGAGGGCTCAGGCTGCTTGGGCCCTCTGGTCCTGGGAGCACCAGGGCTGCACCTGGCCATGTGTGGAGTTTGAATCGTAAAGTTATTGGATTGAATTTGGGCCCCGCATCTGTGGAGCATGCACCCCTGATCTCCGTACTACTCCCAGCACTACATCACTTCTTCATTCACTCACCAAGAACGCTGGGATTATGCAACTCTTGGCTTTTGTGAGTGATGCAGCAAAGAACATAAATAAATGCATCTCTTCAAATCACTGTTTTTGTGGTCTTTAGAACTATCAGCAGTGAGAAGTGGGATACCTGGGTCATATAGTATTTTATGTATTATCATTACTATTATTGTCAGTATAGTTCAGTTCGGGGACCACATCTGGCAGTCCTCAGGACTTCCTCTTGGCTCTGGGTTTAGGGATCCCTCCTGTCAGGGCTTGGTGGATCCTGTGTGGTTCTGGGAATCAAACCAGGAGTCAGCCACATTCAGTGCAAATGCTTTACTCTGTTTCATCACTGCAGCTCAAGACGGGAGTTGGGGGGGTGTGGGAATTCAAATACTCAAAGAGGCAACATCAGCAAAGCCAACCCTCCCCCACCCTTTTCCCTGTAACCCCCAGTGGGACGTTTTTGAGTCTGGGATTTTTTAGGGGTAGATTGTGGGATGTGTTTATTTGTTTTGGGCCGTACCTGGCAATGTTCAGGGGTCATTCCTGGCTCTGAACTCAGGAATTACTCCTGATGGTGCTTGGGGGACCATGTGGGATGCTGGGGATTGATCCTGGGTAGTCGCATGCAGAGCAAGCACACTCCTAGCTGTACTGTCTCTCCGGCCCCATGGGGTAGATTGTGCTTTTAAGTGCTATTGATCCCCATGTCCAACCCTTGCTCTCTCTCTCTGTTGCCAGGAGGCCCAGAAGATCAACAACGGCTCAAGCCAGGCGGATGGCACGCTCAAGCCAGCAGATGAGAAAGAGGAGGCAGTAGCAGCCGAGGTCGGCTGGATGACCTCGGTGAAGGACTGGGCGGGCGTGATGATATCTGCCCAGACGCTGACCGGCAGAGTCCTGGTGAGTCCCCAGCTACATCCTCCCCTGGGGAGGTCAGTGTCTGTCCACAGCTGTGCTGCTTTTGGGGACGTGGGGTGTTGGCTCCTCTGCCCGGCTGTTGGGAGGCGCTCACGCCACGTGGTTCCATCTGGTCATGGATAAGAGGCGGGTTCCTTGGGGCATCTCAGCCCGGAGGTGTGGCTCAGTGTGCAGGCAGAGAGTGTCTGCTGGGCAAGATGCAGAGCACTTTTCTCTGTTTACAGAACAGTTGTGAGTGCAAGTACACGCACGCACACACACACACACACACACACACACACATGCACATGCACACGACTCAGTTATCTTGGAGGGGAGAGGAAGAAAAGGCAACGTGTGCTTATCAAATCTGTGGAGACCCATTCCCACCAGGATATTAGGGGGTGTGTGTGTGTGTGTGTGTGTGTGTGTGTGTGTGTGTGTGTGTGTAGTTTTCTGACCTCCTGGCTTGTGTGATCTCACCCCTGTTATGAATCCTCAGCCATGCCATATTCTGGCACCTTCTTTTCGTCGAGGCTGTTTCTGAGACCCGTCATACCCAGAGCTCACCCTCCCCCTGTCCACCTCCCACATGCTCTCTGGGTTTCATTGACGTGCCCGCAGAGCTCCCATGTCTCTGGCGAGGACTGTGTGTGGGATCTGCTGTTTCTGCCTGAGGGGACCAAGAAACCTGGCCTCTCCATGCACAGTCTGGCAGAGCTCTGGGCAGACAGCCGCGAGACTCTCACATTGGCCAGGCTGTCATCCTTGAGGTGGGTGCTTTTTCCAGGATAACCCTGCCCTGGTTTTCCTGGGTCTGCTCTGGGTTAGAATTTTTTTTTCTTGAAAAAAAGTTGCCTCCCACATAATTTATGATGATTTTGGAAACTGCTCTGATATGGCCGGTCAAAATGAACATGAAGTGGATGGGGATATACTGACAGCTGAGAGGCCCTGAATGATTCAGGAATACTGTCAAGTACTATTCTGTTGGTTTTTCTTCTTCGCAAAAACTCAGTGAAGAGATAACATAGGGAGGTGGTGATGATATCACTCACGATTCCATTTTTTTAGGGACAGCTTTTTAAAAAATTTATTTTTTATTGAATCACCATGAGATACACAGTTACAAAGTTGTTCATGATTGGGTTTCAGTCATGCAATGTTCAAACACCTGTTCCTTCACTAGTGTACATTTCCCGCCACTAATGTCCCCAATTTTCCTCCTGCTAATCCCTGCCCCAGCCTGACTCTATGGCAAACACCTCTCTCTCTCTCTCTCTCTCTCTCTCTCTCTCTCTATCTCCTTGTTTCTCTCTCTCTTTCCTTTTGGGCATTACAGTTTGAAGTACAGATACTGAAGGGTTATCACGCATGTTCCTTTATCTCCTTTAAGCACCCAGTTCTTGGCCAGAGTGGTAATTTTCAACTATCATTGTCATGATGGGGGAACAGCTTTTGGGGACAAATATCTCACCATGACAATAGCAAGCCTCCTGGACATCAGGATTGAGGCACAGGTGATGCCCTCTAAACTTTTCAGGAGGACAGGGTTCTGGTAACCATCAGTGGAGGCTTCTTAAGACATGGGCAGCAGGCCACAGTTGATATCCACAGGTGGCCAGATGGATATTTAGATTTGGAATTTTGCAGAGGGGTGAGAAGCTCATGAGACATGGACAGAAAGACACTGGTGGGACCAGAGCATCACTGGCAGTGCTGAGTGTCCAGTGAGGAGGCTAGATGACTTGCACCCACCATCCTGGCCCCCCTCCCGACCTTTCAGCCAAGTTGCCACTGCTCATTTGTGCATGGTTGTTAGTTGAACCTGCCGGGGAAGCTTACAGGGCTTGGGTCCTGGGTTTGGATCTCCCACAGAGTGAAACGGAGGCTGGATACTCTGACAGCAGCTGGTGAGCATACAGTGTGGTTGCAAAAAGCAACAGACGTGGCCCTTGCTGGGAGTTAAAATTCTCTTCAGCAGCATCAGCCAGGTGTGACTGAGCTTGCCTCTGGCTCCAGGTCTCTTTCCAGGCCCCGAAGGCAAGGGGTGGTCCTGGTTCCATTGCTCCATGGGTGCGAATCTCTGGAAGAATGTCTTGTTAGGAAGTGGTCTGAGGCTCAGCATTGTGTGGTATGTGAGTGGGACGGCAACATCTGGGGGTGGTCATTGGAGCCAACACAGGGAGACAGGTGCTGCACTTGTGGTTTCAGCATGAGCCAAACACACTCTTGGTGAAAGAGAAGACATAAAAAATCAGGATCCATGTGAAGGTCAAGCCAAGAATATCTAAAAATGAAAAATCCTACGAGTTGAGTTTCAAACAGCAATTTCAGAACTTGAAAGCCAAAGCAAGAGGATTATTCCATGGGGATGGAGAAGCAGGGGTAGAGAAGGGATGTAGCACGGCATGGGCATCAGAATCAGAGGCACCCAGAAAGGTGGAAAGTGGCTGGAGGTGGCCTGTAACCTTCATGTGTCGAGCTAAAGGGTTTGAAATGCCTTTGTGGGTGAAGGAGATTTGAGGGTAGAATAGCCGAGAGAAACAAAGGTGGACGAGCAAAGACCAAAGGTGCTGGTTGCCAGGAATGGTGCCTTGGCTCTGGAAGGTGTGGCTGGAAATAACTCCAGGTATTGGCAGCAAACTGTAGATATGGGTTGTGATACTGTGGAATTAGAACCTCACGGGCATGTGCACCAAGCTGTACCTGGCTGTGACTCTACAACTTTTCACTAATAAAAATTAAAAATAATTGCCACCTGAAGTGATAGGACCATGCTGATCCCTATACATCTCTAAACCCACCCCCGATCCCCATCGATTCCTTGTGACTCTAAGTAAGGTCCTGGAGGCATCTTGTGCCTTGTGCACCATAATCCATTCAAAGGCAAGGCCAGCTCTGTATTGACTGTTTTCTGTCTTGGCTATTGAGTGGCAAGATTTCGTGCCAAGCTAGAGTGGACATGGAGCTTATCAAGGAGTTCATTGCCATCTTGCAGTTATGGAAGCTCAGTCACAGTGATTAGGGCAGTGGTTGTTAAAAACAAATTTACCTATGTCTATCCCTTTCCGACTCATTTAGCTTAGCATAATACTTTTCATGTAGTACCACTTGTATATAAATTTCATGGCTTCATCTTTTCTAACAGCTACATAGTACTCCATTGTGTAGATGTACCAAAGTTTCTCCATGGCTTGGAGGCCAGCTGCACACGCTAGGGGAAAAGGCAGCTCCGATTGAGAATGGAGCACCAAATAAAAGGTGTTGGGAGGATCTTCCCAGGATCGGAGATGCATGCTGAAAGTAGACTATAGACCGAACATGATTGCCACTCATTGCCTCTTTTGCAAACCACAGAGAGAACAAAAGGGAATGACCTGCCACAGAGGCAGGATGGGATGGGGGAATGGGGGGTGGGAGGGTTACTGGGATCAGTGGTGGTGGAGAATGGGCACTGGTGGAGGGATGGGTACTCGATCATTGTGTAATTGAAACCCAAGCACAAAAATTTGTAAATCTACAACTGTACCTCATGGTGTTTCACGAATAAAAATTAAAAATAATTGCCACCTGAAGTGATAGGACCATGCTGATCCCTATACATCTCTAAACCCACCCCCGATCCCCATCGATTCTTTGTCCCTGTCATTACTTCCCAGTTACAGATAATGCTGCTTCTTTTCCATGTCACAGCCAACTGTCGCCTGGGTGATGACATTTTTGACTTTACCATCTCTGAACCAATGAGTTTTGGAGGCTTCTTGGCCTGACTCTTTTAACATTTGAATGCACTAGCAAGTCTGTTAGGCCTGGGACTTGCCTCACACCAGGCTGAGTTCGGAAGGTCTCAGGATGTCCTTCCTAAATGGCTCCTGACTCCTCAGGGCCAAACCAGCCTCAGGGAGTTCCTGCAGAGCACATCCTCCTCCAAGGAGAAGCCTGACTTTTGTTCTGAGCAAGAAACAGATTTCCCATTACAACCCCAATGTGCAGGAGGAAAAAGCCTCCTGCCCCTCCTGAACTGAAGCGGTGTTTGTCTTGAGCTGTCCAAACGTTTATCCTTGCCACAATGGAGCAAGACTAGGCTCCGGCTGTTGAATTTCCCTTTTCAATTTTTAATGTGTTTTCCTTTCCATGTGACTTAGGTGCTTAGCTTCTGCCTCTGGGCCTCTGCTCCTTAGTCTCATAGTCACAGGGGAGCACCTCAAAGCTGAGGGTCAGGCCCAGCTGTGGCAGGATTGGCCCAGAGAGTTTTAGCCTGTCTGGTGGCTAAAGCCCCAATTGAACCTCAACTTCTGTGGGGGATTCTCCGTCTCTCTGCCCATCCTCCGGTCAGTGCTTCTTTCCTTGTGTATTAGCCACATCTTGAGGCTCCAGGAAGGAGGATGCGAGCATGGGGCGTGAATTATTTATATGACCAACTAGATAGAACATTGTTGGGTTTTCTGTAAAATACGACAGATGGGCTCACTTTCCACCCGGGCCTTATAGAACCAACGCCCCGAGTTTCCACCTCAGAGTGACAGGTGAACTTTGAGGCCTGTCCCTCACCTCAGCCCTCAGGCTTAGCTCCACCACAGCAACACGACAGTGCAGAACCTTTGCTCAAAGCACCTAGCTCAGAGATCTAGATTGAAGGAAGCCAGTGAGGGTTACTACTTCCCTCACCCTTGGTGTGTGTGTGGGATGGGGAGGGGGTGTGAGAGGGGTTGTTAAAATAACTTGTTTTCTGATTCTGAAAGTGGCACATGCCTATTTATGGGTTTTGGAACATTCTAGAAGTATTGGGAGTTGGAGTTGGCCCACATTGGGGGGGGGGGGCGGCATTTTCTGGGTAGCAGTCAATGCCCCAGGATACCTCCTAGCATTTGGCTGTTTGGAGACTTTATTTACCTCAGCTTATATTAGTTGCTTTCAGCACATTAAGATGAATAGTTCTTTGTGTGGGGGGTGGCAGTGTCCTTCTGGTGAACCAGCAGCAAACACTAAATCGGGAAAGG